AAGTGTTTCTCAAGGATGACGTCATTGGAGATGAGAGTTTGGTCTTCTATATCACCCATACGTGCAAGCGCCGTTGATTTCTCGTGGGGAACTGCTCTTAAGGAGCCGAAAGACGTTTTTATGAGAAGAAGGTAGTTTCTTGAAGAAGTAGTCTCTTTTGCTGTTGGATTAGCAATACTACGAATTGCTCAATATGGGTACAGTTGGACGGATGAGTTCTGCACCACACAAGTCCAAAAGTTGGCCTAAGCACTTCGTCTGGATGGAATCACGACAATGTTAATCTTCTTCATGACAGCAGGCGTCCACATTGGCGAAACAAAGCTATTGAGGAACTCTGTAGTTAATACATGAATCATTTCTTACCTACTGTATTCTCCAGATAAAGCAACACCTAAATACAACTCAAGTGCCCTCAAGCTTATTCTTACCGATAAAAAATAGACGATCAACTTCACCCTAGAAGCGAGAGGTCGCTTTTTCTGACGTGCAATCGGCCACGTTCTAGACATGGGGTATTGAAAAGATAGAGTGTTGCGGACGAATGGGTATATAAATGATGAAACTTGACAAAAAATAGTTAAAGGTTTTTAATATGAGCAAGATTTTTTACGCTTTCAGTTCAACTAATATCTTAGTAGTTCTCGCTCAAAATGTTTGCCATACTTTCTTTCAACATGGTTCTAGAAATTCGTCCATATTCAAATTAGATATTCCAACTCTACAATTCAGTAAATCTCGATTGTACGTTGTTGCTATTAGCATCAAACCAGAGAGAACTGAAAAAGTTTCAAAAAAAGGTATAGTGGTGAATCTAAAGTCAAATCAATAGGTTTAGAAGTATTTTAGTGCAATCATCAAGTCGGTCACATTAAACGCTTTATAAAAAAACCGAAGGAAACTTTCGTTTTCAAAGACCATAAATCGCAATATTCTGCTCCGTTAATGATCTTTAGTGTGCCACAAGTGGTGTTTGCGGCTACCAAGCGTACTGCCAACCATATCAACCGCCTCCGCCAACGTGTTACTGTCCTACACCAGGATACTCATGTGGATCGTATGGCTGCTACAGGTAAAATCATAAGGGGGTTGTGTTTCTCGGTGTTGCTCTCCAAATTTTATCTATTTCAACTTGGTAGAGCCCGAGTTCGTGGATCGAAAAGCTTCCAACCGGTGCGGTCACGTTCAAGAGAACATTTTGATGAAGAGGTCACAATCGACAGGGATAGAGAGATACTAAGGGACAGGTAAAAATTTTGTTGCTTTGACGACTTAACCAGTGCTAGAAGAGATAGTCATATTGAAGGCCTTAACGTGGAATAAAATGTGTTGACAAAATTCCGCAATTCTTCAAAAATGCTCTGCACTAAGTAGGTTTACCTTCAATATGTGCGATTCGATCAGTACTTCAAGTTTTTTTTTTTCGAAAGTAAGACACTTTCAGGTTAAGCGAAGTAGTAAATGGATGACGCATATTTTTTGTGATGCACTTGATCAAATTTTATGAAAGATTTGAACTAGTTGTTCGGGTGTTATCCATAAAGGGGTGTGAAATAAGAGGATTGTATCGTGCAAGTAGTTTACGCAGCCCATCCCAAGGATGAGAATCAGTAATAAGTGGATAAGTAGAATAGGAAATGAATGGAAAGGAGAAATAAGGACAAGGTTTTCAATTCCATGTTTTTGTTCGTGGACTAAACTGTACTACATACCCTCTACTTCTCCGCTTAATTCGACCTAAATATTTGACGAAAACTTTGCAGACTTCGAATAGGTAAACGTCTTCATAACGAGCCACTGACAGAAAGCGAAGAACTCGAGCTTGTGTCATCTTCTGTAGCAGAGAATCGAAAGAGCAAAGGACCAATTGTGAGCCTAACTATGTCCCCCTCTCATTCATAGTCGCATAATGCTAGAATAAATGAATTAATGCGACAATATTTTTACGCATGGTTTAGGATCCCAACCAAGCTTTCTTGGATTGTTGTATGGATAGACAATTACCGGATCCATGCCTTTCTAAATGCAATTTTAGGATATATACCAAAGATGCGGTTAGTTAATTTGATCTAGCTTTGATAAAGTTACCTTACTGCAATTACTTAACTAGTGGCAATAATTTACAGCTTACTGCCATGTACTTTAAACATGATCCTTGTCCTCTGGCAGCTATGAAGGAAATGCAATTTTGCGCCGCTCAAGGAAGGTAAGCTGGCTAGCTATCTCCATACAGCAAAAAACTGCATCTAAATTTGCGCAATTGAGTTGGGACTTTT